CAGCGGAAGACGCCGTACGCTTCTTAGGCGGCGTCACCAAGTCGATCGTGCCCTGAAGCTCATCATAGACAGACGGCCTGACCATGGCGCGAGCAAACACAAACAAAACCCTGTTCATCGAAAGCTGCTGCGTCAGAAGCATTCGTCACGCCGGAATTACCCCCCCTCCCCCCTCCTGCCCACCCCAGCGCATCGTCTACAACAGGAAGCAACAAAACTATGCAGAAACGCAGGGGCCCGTAGAGGCGCCGTCACCGAAAACATGCTGCTATACATCACAATTACAAGAATAGTAACAAGGGAGTATGTGACTATAGGATACAATCTGGCTATCCCTGCCTTTCCATAGTGATAGTAGAATTTCAATGGTTTTACAAGGGGTCTAGGACCATAACATCGGCATGTGTTTAGGCTTCTACATTTGGATCCCTAAACCCCAAGCCCTAAGCCCTAATCCGCCGGATCCTCGACGCTGAGCAGCGCAGTGTACATTCGATGGGTGTGCGGCGGATCGCTGTCCTTGCGCGACACATGGCTGTCCTGGGCTCAAAAACCTAGGGTTTGGGGTTTCGAGTTTAGGGTTCCGCTTTTTTGTCATAAAGAGTCCGTGTGGGATCTAAACGACCATTCAGGGGCGATTGGGTGAGGTCTGTATAATTGGGCCAGTTTCTTATCGGAGTATACCAGGGTATCTACCTGGTTGTTGTCCCCACCATACATCCTTATACAGTTGTAGATGTACTAGAGACTTCTCTTCCCGGGCGGGGAAATGGGCAAGTGTCCATCGCAAATTTTGTGCGTCAAGCTTGCTAGAAATTAGGTCATCTCTGGAATGGGCTATTGCTCCTACAGCCCTATATAAACTTATACTGCCTCATTAGACCCCGGGGACATACAGTACCCTAAACCCTCAGCCCTAAACCGTAAACCCTGAACCCTATGTGCATAACAAGGCCTCAAAGGCTTGCAAATTAGGTTTTGGTTGCAATTGGAATATAGGCTTAGGGCTTAGTGCTTACAGTTTAAGGTCTTAGGGGCCGATGTTGGATGATGGCTTTTGAGTCTAGAGTTATACGGTTTAGGGGTTGCAGTTAGATTATGAATGATCCTTGCTAGGGATGATCTAGGCATTCTTTTGAGAAAGTCCCAGCTGCTTGGAACATCCACAGCCCCGATGTGAACCTGGACCCCTGCAGGCAAACCCCACATCCTAAGTTCGACTCAGCAGCGCTATTGTTGATACTAAGAATTCTGCATGACTTCAGGATACCCCTGAAAGGTCCAAAGAATCACAGAGTAGGGCTTTAGTTCCTAGGCACTTGACCCCTGTAGTACTATAACTGCCTTGCACAACAAGTATGGTGGGGCCACGCAGGATTGATAGTATCGGCAGTAGTACCGAGGCCCCTGGGAGGATCTAGAAAGTAGATCCCCCTTAAGGGGTCCTAGGAATTAGCCCAATAGTAGTAATAGGGTACCATATTGGAGGTTCTACTTTCTAGACCCCAAACCCTAAAACCTAAACCCTAAACCCTAAACCGTAGAGGGGGGTTCTAGTTTCTAGATCCTCCCAGGGGTCTGGGTAGAGGTTTGGCCCTGGCATGTGACAGCTGAGGGGCGGTGATGTGTAAGATTCTGAGCTCATCATCCTCGGCAGCCTTCTGCACCACCTTCCCAGATCCCCTTTGGGAGGATCAAGAAAGAAAGTAGAACCCCAAGAGCCCCCATTATGGGTTTAGGGTTTAGGGTTTAGGGTTTGGGTAATTTATAAGAAGCCCTTATGGGGATCTACTGTCTAGATCCCCCCCAGAGGTCTGGGTTGCGCTTTTGCACAACAATCAATGGCTGCAAGGAGTTCGTTTTTTTTTCAGCTGCTGTAGCGAAGATCAGGAAAGGGTGGGAAGTATATATGGGAGACCCCTTCTGATTGGCAACGCCCACTTCCACAACCACCCTGGACCTTTGGGCCTGGTTTACAGCACATGCGGAGCCTAAGCTAGCCAAAGTTCAGCCCTCAAGTGATACGACGTGCGCCAGCATACCTGACAGAGTTAAACAAAAGAACTCAAGCAGCTAACGAATTACAGATGAAGACCACACACGCGGGGATCCCTAAACCCTTATCCCTAAACCCTCTAAACCATATAGCACTCGTCATTCCAAAGCTCGGTAATTAGACACAAGCTGTCCAGGCAATGTGGTGTCCTCTGACCCACCATCACCCACCCAGCGCAAGGCCAGCGGGAACTGCTACTTCCCTCTTGTCTTTTACTTGCCGATGCCTGAGAAATCAAGGTCGGAAAAGGATCTAGAAGGTGGCGCCCCCATTGTGGTACCTTATACTATACTACTATCCCAAAGGGTCCAAAGTACTGATATGGTACAAAGTATGGTTTCTGTAGTAATAACTTCCCTTATGGTTTGGGTAAGTATTCCCTATATTGGTACTTAGGACCCTTTGGGTATTGGGTAATTTATGAGCCCTTCAGGGGGATCTACTTTCTAGATCCGCCCAGGGGTCTGGGGAGGCTGACTTCCTGTAGCCGCTGATGCAAAGGAAGAGCAGCCCTGTCTGCTTAGACCTGGCCAGTGGTAAAATGCGCCTTGTGTAGTTAAACCCTAAACCCTTAACCTTG